GGTCCCTGACAAGGGCCAGGGATTGAGACTGTAACCAAGGTCTGTGCTCTTGACTGTAATTGAACCTGGGGCCCTTCAGCCCATGGGTTGTTGCACTATCCACTGAGCAAAACTGGCCAGGGCTCAAGTTATTTGCTTTGAAAAGTCACCCTCATAATATACTAAGGTTTATATATACATGGATCTGTTTATGGACTCTCTTCTGTTTTATGATTTGTTTGTTTATTCCTGAGTCAATACCACAGTATTTTAATAATTGTAGTTTTATAGTATGTTTTTAAAAAATATTTTTATTGATTTCAGAGAGGGAGAGGGAGAGAGATAGAAACATCAATGATGAGAGAGAATCATTGATTGGCTGCCTCCTGCATGCCCCATACTGGGGGATCAAACTGGCAACCTGGGCATGTGTCCTGACTGGGAATCGAATTGTGACCTCCTGGTTCATAGCTTGATGCTCAATCACTGAGCCATGCCAGCTGGGCTATAGTATTTTATTTTTTAAGTGATTAACATTTTTTAAACTGGTGTTTATTTTGTAAGTAAAATGCTCAAGAAACTTTAAAAAGTTCTAAAGGCCTAGAGATAAACAGGTTTCAGATAAGATTATAGGCAGGTGCTGACTGTTGGTTTCTTGGTTGTTAACGCCTAAATTTCATTGTGCTCTATTCTGCACTTCCATGATTCTTCTAGTTGAGGAGTGGTGAATTCCTCCGACTTTCGGCATACATCAACATTTACCACAATAAGAATGATAAGAAAAACAGTGGCAATACCCATCATTGTCATTGCAAAGGGAAACATTTTATAACCCAGGGAGAAACTTGCCACAGCAAATCCAAAAATCAAAATCATTAATCCAGTAAAGAAGAAAAAGTATCATTTACAGAATCTATTTGGACACTTTCCTTGGATTATTCTCTGCAACCAAGTCTGCTGACTATAAACTTGAGATGTTGAGATCATGATGAGTTTAATCTTGTATTTTTAAAAAATCTTTCCTGTTGAAAGTGTTACATATGTCCCCCCCCCATTGCCCCCTCTATCCTTCCCCTGCTGCCCACCCCAGGCCTTCACCACCCTATTATCTGTGTCCATGGGTTATACGTACAAGTTCTTTGGTTGATCACCCCCACCCCCCTTGTCTCAGAGATTCCACACTCTGTTCCATGCTTCCATGCCTCTGGATCCACTCTGTTCATCAGTTTATTTTGTTACTTAGATTCCACATATGAGTGAGATCATGTGATACTTGTCTTTCTCTGACTGACTTATTTCACTTAGCATAATACTCTCCAGGTCCCTCCATGCTTTCTCAAAGGGTAAGAGATCCTTATTTTCTACTACTCCATAGTATTCCATGGTATAAATGTACCACAGCTTTTTTTCTCCACTCGTTTATTGATGGGCACTTGGGCTGTTTCCAGATATTAGCTATTGTAAACTGTGCTGCTATGAACATAGGGATGCATCCATTCTTTCTGATTGGTGTTTCAGGTCTCTTAGGATATATTACTAGAAGTGGGGTCCCTGGGTCAAATGGCAGTTCTGTATTTAATTTTTTGAGGAAACTTCATACTGTTTTTCCATAATGGCCGCACCAGTCTGCATTCCCACCAGCAGTGTACTAGGTTTCCCTTTTCTCCGCATCCTCGCCAGCACTTGTCATTTGTTGATGGTAGCCATTCTGACAGGTGTGAGGTGATACCTCAATTGTCATTTTAATTTGCATCTCTCTGATGATCAATGACTTTGAGCATTTTTTCATGCCTCTTGGCCAACTATATGTCCACTTTGGAGAAGTGTCTATTTAGGTCCTTTGTCCATTTTTTAATTTGATTGTCTTCTTTTGTTAAGTTGTATGAGTTCTTTATATATTTTGTATATTAACTCTTTATCAGATGTATCATTGCCAAATATATTCTCCCATACAGTGGGCTCTTTTCGTCGTGTTGATGGCTTCTCTTGCTGTGTAGAAGCTTTTTATTTTGATGTAGTCCCATGTGTTTATGTTCTCCTTAGTTTCCTTTGCTCTAGGAGATGTATCCATAAACATATTGCTACGAGAGATGCCTGAGATTTTGCTGCCTATGGTTTCACCTAGGATTTTTATGGTTTTCTGACTTACATTTAAGTCTTTTATCCATTTTGAATTTCTTCTTCTGTATAGTGTAAGTTGATGGTCTAGTTTCATTTTTTGCATGTATCTGTCCAATTTTTCCAACACTGTTTATTGAAGAGACTGTCTTGACTCCATTGTATGCTTTTGCCTCCTTTGTCAAATATTAATTAAATGTAATGGTTTGGGTCAATTTCTGGGGGTCTCTGTTCTGTTCCATTGATCTATATGCTTGTTCTTGTGCCAGTACCAGACTGTTCTGATTAAGGTAGCTTTGCAGTATAACTTGATATCTGGTGTTGTGATTTCTCCAACATTGTTTTTCTTTCTCAAGATTGCTGCAGGTATTCAGGGTCTTTTTTGGTTCCATATAAATTTTTGGAGTATTTGTTCTAGATCTGTGAAATATGCTGTTGGTATTTTAATAGGGATCACATTGAATCTTATCTTGTATTTAATGCAGCTATTGAACAACCAGAAAAGTCAAACTCCTTTTAAGATGAGATGCCAAACACAGCTCTTTGTGTTTCTCTTATAGGAGATAGGATCTTGTTTGGATAATTGCAATAACCTGGGTTCTCATGGAAGGCCATTTTCACCCATCAGCATAGCTTTCTCTCAATCCAATGACATAAGATCAATTAACATTTTTAAATTTATTTCAGAGAGGAAGGGAGAGGGAGAGAAATAGAAACATCAATGAGTGAGAATCATCCATTGGCTGCCTCCAGCATGCCCCCTACTGGGGATCAAGCCTGAAACCCAGGCATGTGCCCTGACTGGCAATCAAACCAGGACCTCCTGATTCATGGGTCGACACTCAACCACTGAGTCATACCAGTCGGGTCTTTTATAGTATGTTTTGATCTCTGGTACCTACTTCCTGAAACACAACCTTTCTTGGCCTCTGTGACTTGACACATCTATTTCTATTGATACTTCTCTGGCAACTCCTCAGTCAGAGAGAGAAACATGGATGAGAGAAAATGATTGATTGGTTGCCTCCTGCAAACCCCCTACTGGGGACTCAAGCCTGCAACCCAGGCATGTGCCCTTGTCTGGAATTGAACCTGGGACTCTTCAGTTCGCAGGCCGACACTCTATCCAATCAACCAAACTGGCTAGGGCTTTTTTATTTTTAATACAGATTTTTTAAAAATTGATTTCAGAGAGGAAGAGAGAGAGAGAGAGAGAGAGAGAGAGAGACATTGATTGGCTGCCTCCTGCATGCCCCCTACTGGGGATCGAGCCTGTAAACTGGGCATGTGTCCTTGACTGGAATCAAAACTGGGATCCTTCAGTCTGCAGGCTGACACTCTATCCACTGAGACAAACCAGCTAGGGCTCCCTGGGTGATCTTATCCAATCCCATGCTGATGACACTCAAATACTTATCTCTATTCCTAAATATCTGTTCAATGAAACGGCAAACTCAACCTATCAAAAACTGAACTCATCTTTTCTCCTTATCCACACCTCCAAAAAACTGATCCTACCCGTGTTCTTTTTTTTTAATAGTTTTAAAAATATTTTTTATTAGTTTCAGAAAGGAAGGTAGAGGGAAAGAGAGAAACATCAATGATGAAAGAATCATTGATCAGCTGCCTTCTGCACGCCCCACACTGGGGATGGATCCGCAACCTAGGCATGTGCCCTGACCCAGAATTGAAGCATGACCTCCTGATTCATAGGTTGACACTCAACCACTGAGCCATGGTCGGCGGGGCTACTCTAGTGTTCTTTCGTTGAATGACACAACTGGCCCTAGAGATGTTGACGTGAAAAACCTGCTTGTCTTCTTGAAAGCCACTCTCTAGCCTTCCTCTTCTTCCTGGGATCAACCACCAAGTAATGCTCATTGGACATCCTTAGTCTCTCTCTAGAGCTCACCCAGTTCTCTCCACCGACTGTGACCACTCAGCTCAGGCCTCTTTCACCATGCAGTTGGGTAACTGTAGTTGCTAGCTCTAACTGGCATCCCTGCCTCCTCTCTTATCCTACCTGTAATCTAATCTCTACACTACAGCCAGTGTAGAGATTAAATTTATGTTTAATGCTACTCCCCTACTTAAACCTTTCAAAGGTTCTCCATCACTTACAGGATCAAGTTCAAACCTGGGTTATAAAGCCTTACCATGATCTGGCTCCTGTTTGTCCACCACAGCCTTAACTCTTTATAACCTGATTTTTTAAAAAAATTCCTCCTCCAAGGACATTTTTTCTTCTTCATTGATTCCAGAGAGAGAGAGCAAGGGAGAGGGAGAGAGAAATATCGATTTGTTGCCTCACACACGCGCCCCACCACTCATCGAACCTACAACCTGGGTATGTGCCCTGAGCCGGAATTGAACCTGCGACCCTTCGGTGCACCGGGCGGCGCTCTAACCACTGAGCGCACCATCCAGGGCCTGAATTCTTTTCATTCCTTGAATAGAGGATGTTCTTGTCTCCAACGTTCTCCAAGATGACTAGGTCCTCCTCCTTACCTTTATTCACCCCACAGGTCAGTTTCTTGGGCACATTGTCTCTGGACTACCCCTTGCTCCCACCTCCTCTAGGTTAGGTGTCCCTGTCCTTCACCTCCGCAGCCAGTGTGCTGTACGATTCATGGCGTTGCATTGTCTCTGTAGGCAGTGAGCCTCTGGAGGACAGCCTCCGCCTCGGTCTGGTTTGCCACGGAGCGTCCAGCACCTAGGACAGGGCCTGGCACCAAGTAGGCGCACAATGAATAGTGGACGCGGGAGGCGGAGGGTGCGTGCGGGCCGGTGTCCTCTGGGAGGCAGCGCTCCGCGGCGGAGACCGGTGCGAGGGTGTGAGGGAGGGAGCGCAAGGCTCAAGTCCCACCCCAGCACAGTCGGCCCCGTACTGCTGTGGCGCCGCGTCGGCTTCCGGCCCAACCTGCCGGAAGTGGGAGCACAGGCTTCCCATAATGCCTCGCGGCGCGCCTATTCAAACCGCACGGCGGAGAGGAGGTCGCGATGGCAGCTCCGGAGCCGGAAGTGCGGTCCTTGACCGCAGCCCCAGGTAAGGCAGAGGGTCCGGATCCCGGGATGCTTGGGGGACCTGTTTGCTCCCCGCCGCCGCCCCCTCCCGTCATGTGTCTCTGGCCCCTTCTCTGGCCTGTCTTCCCTTTCCCTGTCCGCATTCTGGTCTTCCCTCCCGGCTCTGGCTCGGCCAGAGTGACTGCCAGCGCCCCACGGCCCCGATCCCATTGGTTCACCCCACTCTGCCTTCATCTCGACGGGCGGCGTTCTGGAGCCCAATGGACTACACGTTCCTTCCGTTCAGATCCGGGCCGCCAGTGAGTCAGCGTCAGTCCCCGGCTTCGGAGTTGCGCCCCCGCCCCGCTTTCTCACCAGCCCGCCGTCACTTACATCACTTTAGGCGACTGGGATTAGGAATCGTCCCACCTCCACCCACACTGGAGTTGGCGAAGGGAATGTGCACGTGTCGGGGTTGGGGTGGCTAACAGGGGACGAGAAGGCTGGCTTTGGCCTTTGAGTTTGTAACTTTTCTCTTTCTTGTCCCTCTGCGCGCCCACCAGGTTTGGAGTGGTATGAGGAGGCGGAGGACACCCACGCCCCCCACATAGAACTCCTGGACACGACCGCCGCCCAGGAGCTTCCCAGCCGCTCCGAGTCTTTTCGCCCCCGCCATGGCCTGGTGCCCGTGGTGTTCCCCGGGCCTGTCAGCCAGGACGGCTGCTGTCAGTTTACGTGTGAATTTCTAAAGCATGTCATGTACCAGCGCCTGCAACTCCCTCTGCCCTACGAGCAGCTGAAGCACTTCTACCGACAGTCTTCTCCCCAGGTGGGCACAGGCTCTCCGAGAGAGCTGGTGGGGAGACTTCATGGCTGTTCCATGGGAGGAAGGTTCAAAAGGTCTAAGGAATCTGCAGGATGTGTCAGCTTAAGCAGCTGGGAGGAATGTGTTTCATCCCGTGGTTTCAGTCACTTCGATCGTCTAGCCCTCCCCACTTTTTCTCTTATTTTCTTTTTCCGAAACCCTTATTGTGCTACATTTGGACTTCATGGATTGACCCTTTAATTTTAATGTCTTTTCTCTCCAAATTTTTATTTTTGTCTCTTTGTTTTTATGTTCTACTTTCTGGGGGACTTCTTTGACTATTTTATTTATTTATTTAAAAATATATTTTAGCCGAAACCGGTTTGGCTCAGTGGATAGAGCGTCGGCCTGCGGACTGAAAGGTCCCAGGTTCGATTCCGGTCAAGGGCATGTACCTGGGTTGCAGGCACATCCCCAGTAGGAGATGTGCAGGAGGCAGCTGATCGATGTTTCTGACTTTCTATCTCTCTCCCTTCCTCTCTGTAAAAAAATCAATAAAATATATTAAAAAAAAAGACTACTTAAAAAAATAAATAAAAATATATTTTATTGATTTCAGAGAGGAAGGGAGAGGGAGAGATAGAAATATCGATGATGAGAGAGAATCATTGATTGGCTGCCTCCTGCATGCCCCCTACTGGGGTTTTAGCGTGCAACCCTGGCATGTGCCCTGACTGGGAATCAAACTGTGACCTCCTAGTTTAGTGATGGCGAACCTTTTGAGCTCGGTGTGTCAGCATTTTGAAAAACCCCAACTGAACTCTGGTGCCGTGTCACATATAGAAATTTTTTGATATTTGCAACCATAGTAAAACAAAGACACATATATATATATATATATTTTATTTTATTTTTTTAATTAAATCTTTATTGTTCAGATTATTACAGTTGTTCCTCTTTTTCCCCCCCCGTAGCTCTCCTCCATCCGGTTCCCACTCCACCCTCTGCCCTTACCACTCCCCCCCCCCCCCACCGTCCTCATCCATAGATGTATGATTTTTGTCCAGTCTCTTCCCGCACCCCCCACATCCCTTCCCTCCCCCCCCAGAATAGTCAGTCCATTCCCTTTCTATGCCCCTGATTCTATTATATTCACCAGTTTATTCTGTTCATCAGATATTTTATTCACTTGATTTTTAGATTCACTTGTTGATAGATATGTATTTGTTGTTCATAATTTGTATCTTTTTTTTTGAATGTGTATTTGATAATTTGTATCTTTACCTTTTTCTTCTTCCTGTTCTTAAAGGATACCTTTCAGCATTTCATATAATACTGGTTTGGTGGTGATGAACTCCTTCAGCTTTTTCTTATCTGTGAAGCTCTTTATCTGACCTTCAATTCTGAATGATAGCTTTGCTGGGTAAAGTAATCTTGGTTGTAGGTTCTTGCTATTCATCACTTTGAATATTTCTTGCCACTCCCTTCTGGCCTGCGTAGTTTCTGTTGAGAAATCAGCTGACAGTCGTATGGGTACTCCCTTGTAGGTAACTGACTTTTTTTCTCTTGCTGCTTTTAAGATTCTCTCTTTGTCTTTTACTCTTGGCATTTTAATTATGATGTGTCTTGGTGTGGTCCTCTTTGGATTCCTTTTGTTTGGGGTTCTCTGTGCTTCCTGGACTTGTAAGTCTATTTCTTTCACCAGGTAGGGGAGGTTTTCTGTCATTATTTCTTCAAATAGGTTTTCAATATCTTGCTCTCTTCTCTCTCTTCTTCTGGCACCCCCATAATTCGGATGTTGGTACGCTTGAAGCTGTTCCAGAGGCTCCTTACACTATCTTCATATTTTTGGATTCTTTTTTCTTTTTGTTTTTCTGGTTGGGTGTTTTTTGCTTCTTCGCATTTCAAATCTTTGACTTGATTCTTGCGATCCTCTAGTCCAGGGGTGGGCAAACTTTTTGACTCGAGGGCTACAATGGGTTCTTAAACTGGACCGGAGGGCTGGAACAAAAGCATGGATGGAGTGTTTGTGTGAACTAATATAAATTCAAAGTAAACATCATTACATAAAAGGGTACGGTCTTTTTTTTTTTTTTTTTTTTTTAGTTTTATTCATTTCAAACGGGCCGGATCCGGCCCGCGGGCTGTAGTTTGCCCACGGCTGCTCTAGTCTGCTGTTGGAACTCTGTATAATATTCTTTATTTCAGTCAGTGTATGCTTAATTTCTAATTGGTCCTTTTTCATAACCTCGAGGGTCTCACTAGATTTCTTGAGGGTCTCACTAAATGTATCGGCGGTTTCTAGAAAATTCTTGAAAAACCTTAAAAGTGTGGTTTTGAACTCTATATCCAGTAGATTTCTTTCCTCCATTTCTGTCATTTGTAACCTGTTTCTTTGTCTCTGCATTTTTTTATGCTTCCCTGTGTTGATAGAGTGGCTTTGTGTGCTAGGTGTCCTATAGGGCCCAGTGGCTCAGCCTCCCCAATTACCTGAGGTGGAGACTCTTGGTGCACCCCTTCGTGGGCTGTGTGCACAGTCTTGTTGTAGTTAAGCCTTGATTGTTGTAGGTATCACTGGGAGGAATTGACCTCCAGGCCAATTGGCTGTGAGAATCAGTTGTGTCTGCAGTGGGAGAACTTCTGTGCTGGAGACACCATTCTGGGGCAAGACTTGCTTCAATGGGGCTTTGGTGCTCACTGAGTCTGCCCCCTGAGTGTCCCTTACGGATCTGAGGAGTTGTAATCTGGATGGTCCCATTCTGACCTCTTGGATCTCTAAGGAGGTGCTAATTTAGCCTCTGCCTGAGGCTACCCAGCAGGAGCTATGGAGAGATCTGTAGATTCCTCTTCTTTGCTTGGGGTTTGGAGGTGCCCAGATGAGGCCCAGCTGTGAAGCAGTGCGAGCTGCTGTGGGGCCTTGGGCCTTCTTTTGGAAGTTCTGGGTCTGTCTGGCCCAGCTGCAGTTTGTTAGGTAATTTTAGATTGCAAAGGGCCAGGCCATTCATATGCAAAAGCCTCTGCGCACAGCTTGGGTGGGTCGGGGTCTCAGGGGATCAACAGGGTGGAGCAAACAGCTATGGATGCTCCTCAGTCCTACCCTAAGGGGCCCTGCTTTTTAGTGTCCCGGTAATCGCCGCAAGCACCTCTGAGAGAAAGCCGCCCTCGAGTTCCGACCGATGCCAGACAGTCCAGTTTCTCCCTGTATGAGTCTGGGTCCCCAGAGACCCGCCTGGAACTGGAGTTCAGAGCAGCCGGGAGCTTGAGACTCCCTCCTGATTGAAAAAGACAATCACCTCGTCCCCAGTTGCCAGCCCTTTCCACGTGCGCCTCCGCACCTCTGCACTTTACTTCCGCACCGCACCTCCTCTGAGTCTCAGTGTGCTTCCCTCCCTTCTAGTTGTAGAATTTCCACTTGGCCAGCCTTCCTGTGGTTCTGGGTGATGTCCGTTTTGTCTTTTAGTTGTATTTTTGAAGTAGTTGTGCGAGGCAGCAATTTCAGGTGTTTACCTATGCTGCCATCTTGGTTTTCAGATTTACATTTTTGATATTTATTTTATATATATAAATGCCATTTAACAAAGAAAAATCAACCAAAAAAATGAGTTTGTGTGTCACCTCTGATACGTGTGTCATAGGTTCGCCATCACTGTCCTAGTTCATAGATAGACGCTCAACCACTGAGCCATGCTGGCCGGGTTGCATGTTCCTTTTTTAAATTTATTTTTAAATTTTATTGGGGGTGACATTGAGCAACTTGAACATAGGGTTTCAGGTATGGAGTTCTAAGTTACAAAATATGTATATAGCACCATGTGCCCACCGCCCAAAGTCAGATCTTCTCCTGTCACCTGTATGGTCCTTTTTAATAGCATCCTGTTTTATGTCTGTATGAACCTCTCTTACCTGAAGATATCAATTACTGTATTTTTGAGGTTTTCCTATGTTCCTTGCCATGTCTCTGTTTCTTTCAGATTCCTTTTCCTATTTGTTTTGGTCTTTTTTTTTTTTTAAATATATTTTATTGATTTTTTACAGAGAGGAAAGGAGAGAGACAGAGAGTCAGAAACATCGATGAGAGAGAAACATCGATCAGCCGCCTCCTGCACATCCCCCACTGGGGATGTGCCCGCAACCCAGGTACATGCCCTTGACCGGAATCGAACCCGGGACCTTTCAGTCCGCAGGCCGACGCTCTATCCACTGAGCCAAACCGGTTTTGGCTTGTTTTGGTCTTTGACTTTCATGTTAGAGGCTTTTAGTCTGTGTCTGCCGAATATTTAAGAATAAGTCATTGAAAGCTCTGTATGCATGGCTGAGTCTTGTGAGCTGATAAGACTTTAAGGATATTGGTGGCAGCCTAGTGGTCTCTTTGGAAGACTCCTAAAAAGTCTTCTTTCTGAAAGTTTTGGGGTGTTTTTACTGTAGTTGATTTCTAATTTCATTCCACTGTGATCTGAGAAGATGCTTGATATGATTTCCATCTTCTTGAACGTGTAGAGACTTGTTTTGTGTCCTAACATGTGGTCTATCTTTGTGAATGACCCATATGCACTTGAGAAGAATGTATATTCTGCAGCTTTGGGGTGAAATGTTCTATAAATGTCAATTAAATCCATCTGATCCAGTGTGTCCTTTAGAGTCTCTGTTTCCTTGTTAATTTTTTGTCTGGAAGATCTATCCAGTGAAGTCAGTGGGGTGTTAAAGTCCCCTACTATAACTGTATTGTCAATCTCTCCCTTAAAGTTCTCTAGAAGATTTTTTATATATTTAAGTGCTCCTATATTAGGTGCATATATGTTTACTAGGGTTATATCCTCTTATTGGATCAATTCCTTTAGTATTATGTAGTAGCCTTTGTTGTCTCTTGTGATGGCCTCATTTTGAAATCTATTTTATCGGATATGAATATTGCTATTCCAAATTTTTTTTTTTTCCATCCTTCACTCTCATCCCATGTGTGTCTTTTGTTCTGAGGTGGGTCTCTTGTAGACAGCATATGGTTGGGTCATTTTGTATCCATTCAGCTACCCTATGTCTTTTGATGGGAGCATTTCATCCATTTACATTTAAGGTTATTAATAGGTACTTATTTATTGTCATTTTAATTCTGTATGCCTAGGTTTCTCTCTATTTCTTCTCATTACAGCAGTCCCTTTATCATTTCTTATATTGCTGGCTTGGTGGTGATATACTCCTTTAGGCTTTTTTTTTTTTTTTTTTTTTTTTTTGGTCTGGGAAACTCTTTATTTGACCATCTATTTTGAATGATTGCCTTGCTGGATATAGTAATCTGGGTCTCAGATCCTTGCTTTCCATTACCTTGAGTACTTCATGCCATTCCCTTCTGGCCTGTAGAGTTTCTGATGAGAAATCAGGTGTCAGCCTTATGGGAGCTCCTTTGTAGGTAACAGTTTGCTTTTCTCTTGCTGCCTTTAAGATTCTCTCTTTTTCTTTAATTTTTTGGCATTTTAATTATGATGTGTCTGGGCATGGGCCTGTTTGGGTTCTTCTTGCTTGGGGTTCTCTGTGCTTCCTGAACTTGTGTGACTTTTTCCTTTACCAGGTTCGGGGAGTTTTTTGCTATTATTTCTTCAAACCCATTGTCTGTCCCTTTCTGCCTCTTCCGGCACACCTGCTATTCGAATATTGTTATGTTTCACGTTGTCCCACAGCTCCCTTAAGCTGTCCTCCTGTTTTTTAATTGTTTTTCTCTTTTTGGTTTTCTGATTGATTTTTTTCAACTCTGTCTAATAATTCACTGATTTGATCCTCAACTTCCCCTAATATGTTGTGTATTCCTTCCAATGTGTTCTTTATTTGTGCTATGTCATTCTTTATTTCTATTTTCATAGTTACTATATCTTTTCTCATGCTATTGAGCATCTTTACTATCATTGTTCTGAACTCTTTATCAGATAAATTTCTTATCTCCATTTCATTTATCTCTTCTTCTGGAGAATTCTCTTGTTCTTTCATTTGTGGGTTGTTTCTTTATCTCCTCATTTTGGCTGCCTGTTTGGTTTTGTGACTCTGTATTAGGTAGATCTGCTATGCCTCTCAATCTCTGGTGCAGGACAGTGTCAAAAGCTGTTTCTGACTAGATGAGGCAGAGACTCAAATCCTCCAGAGACCACCTCTGCCTACAGACTTGAATTGCTCTCAGACAATCATCCATCAGTGTGGCAAGAGTTTTTTCAGCGGGGTGGGGCAATTGCTTCTGCCTGGTGGCTACTTGTTATTCTCAGCCTCTTAATGGGTCTCAGAAACTCTGTACTTAGTGAGGCAAGGTTTTTTCCAGTAGAGTGGGTCAGCTGTCATCCCCCCAGGCAAAACCGCCTAGGTCATTGGTTCTCAACCTTCTGGCCCTTAAATACAGTACCTCATGTTGTGGTGACCCCCAACCATAAAATTATTTTTGTTGCAACTTCATAACTGTAATGTTGCTACTGTTATGAATCGTAATGTAAATATCTGATATGCAGGATGGTCTTAGGCGACCCTTATGAAAGGGTCGTTCGACTGCCAAAGGGGTCGCGACCCACAGGTTGAGAACCGCTGGCCTAGGTAGCAATTGTCCGTGTGAAGAAGATGACCTCTGCTGCATGAGGGAATGACTCAGCCTAGGACACTGGGGTGTCTGCTTTCTGAGCTCTAACCCCAAAGCCCCCCGATCCTGGCTTCTGCTTACACAGCTCCAGTCCACTTTGCCTTCCCTCTGCTGGAGCACAAGGTGGGTGGCTTGATGGAATTTTATGCGTTGGCCCTTTAAGAGGGTGCCTGAATTCCCAGCCATCTATCCCTGGCCAACAGCAACCCCACTTTTCACAGCCAGAGGTTATGTGGGTACCCTTCTCAGTTCTGGTGTTCTCTGCTGGGGGCCAAGCTTGGGGATTAGATTCCAGAGTTCTCACTGGCAACCCCTGACAGCTGAGATATCTCTCCGGAACTTCAATTGTCTGTGGGAGCCCGGCCAGCCGTTTCGTGCCTCCACCCATCTGACCTGTCTCTATGCCGTCTCCACTTTCCGTCCTCACTTATCAGGGTTCTCTCCAGTGAGTCTTCCATTGATTATCCAGGAAGTTTTTCTGTATTTTAGTTGTAATTCCAGTTTGGTCCTGGGAGTGTGTCTATGCAGCACTCACTTACTCTGCTGCCATTTTTATTTGTTTTTTATTTATCTTTAAAAAAAATATTTTATTGATTTTTTACAGAGAGAAAGGGAGAGATATAGAGAGTTAGAAACATAGATGAGAGAGAAACATCGATCAGCTGCCTCCTGCACACCCCCTACTGGGTATGTGCCCACAACCAAGGCACATGCCCTTGACCGGAATTGAACCTGGAACCTTTGAGTCCGCAGGCCGACACTCTATCCACTGAGCCAAACCGGTTAGGGCTATCATTATTTTTTAAATTATTATTTTTATTGATTTCATAGAAGAAGGGAGAAGGAGAGAGAGATAGAAACATCAATGATGAGAGAGAATCATTGATTGGCTGCTTCCTGCACACCCCACACTGGGGATCAAGCCCGCAACCTGGGCATGTGCCCTTGACTGGAATCGAACCCAGGACCCTTTAGTCCGCAGGCTGACGCTCTGTCCACTGAGCAAAACTGGCTAGGGCTCTGCCACCATTTTTAATCCCCGGTTGGAAAGTTTTCTCTCTGGAGGGAGGAATTTGGCAGGCGATCTAAGGGCCCTCATGTTTTCACTCAGTCCCCATGCGTTCACTCTTGCCTTTTGCAGTGCCTGATAGGCAATTCCTGAGCCTTCCTGAGGTTCTGCTGTGTGAGTCGGTTTGCTTTTCACGGAAGTCCCCTCTGTCAACACTTGAACTCTTTCATCTGCTTTCTGTCCTTCAAAAATTGGTTGTTGCTTTGGCCACTGCTGTCTCCTCTCAGGTCTCTTTGCTCAGGGGTATCCTCCTTGCCTTTCTCTCTGCTCCCTTCCTCCTGCCTCCCTCCTTCCTTCCGTCTCTCTTTTCTCTTTCCTTTCATTTAGTAGTATTTCATATGGGAGCACAAATAAGCATATGTTCAATTTGCCATGTTTAATTGGAAGACCAACTCCAGAATCACCTTTATTAAACTACACAATCCTCATTCCTGTTATCACTCCCATTATAGCAAAATTTGCCACCTACTATGCCACCAAATCTTAACGGTGTTAGTTGCTTATTTCTGGATGTCCTCCTACTTCTGAACACTGTCTTTAGTGTTCTAAGTGTGGGGTGGTTATGGTTTTGTACGAAGAATATATTTTCTTTTTTGATATATCGCCCTCTGATAAAACCCAGTGCCTTAGCTGTGGCAGTTCATTGAACTGGAAATCCAGTCCCATAGTCTACTATATCCCAACCAACAGGGTTCTTCAAAGGTCACTAGCTTTCCCTACCTTGCCTTCTTTCTCACCAGTCTTTGTCTCCATAGGCAGAGGACATGGTGAAGAAGAAACCTTGGGCCATCACTGAGGCAAGCAGCAGGAAATGCCAACAAACCCTGGAAGAACTGGAGAGCGTCCTCAGCCACCTAGAGAGCCTCTTTGCCCGGACCCTAGTACCACGAGTGCTGATCCTCCTTGGGGGCAGTGTTCTAAATCCCAAAGAATTCTACGAGCTTGACTTGTCCCGCTTGGCCCCCAGCAACGTGGACCAGAGGGTGAGCACAGCAGCTTGTTTGCGCCTTATCTTCCGCGCCATTTTTATGGCCGATGCCTTCAGTGAGCTTCAGGCTCCTCCACTCATGGGCACCATTGTCATGGCACAGGGGCACCGCGACTGTGGAGAAGATTGGTTTCGACCCAAGCTGAACTACAGAGTGCCCATACGGGGCCACAAACTGACTGTGACCCTGTCCTGTGGCAGACCCTCCATCCCGGTCACAGCCTGGGAGGATTACATTTGGTTCCAGGCACCAGTGACATTGAAAGGCTTTCACGAGTGAAGAGGGCTGCTGCTTAATCGTGAACACATGGCTAAATTATCTTCCCTTCTCTGGCACCAAGTCACCCGTCTCTTGCTTGGAAGTGGAGTTGCTTCCTGACGAGAGGAAGGTTCTGTCCTGGCTGCCTGCCTCCCCTTCTCAGACTTCCTGGTGAGCTGATGGTGTGACTCGGCCTGTAATCATCATCACTGAACAACATCTCTGTGAATCAAAGGTTGACCGGGTCAGACTTGACTGTTTGGGGTTGGAAAGGAAATGTGGGCCCATAGACACTACTATGGAGGTGCCCTTTTTCTGTGGCCTTTCAGAATTTTTACCGGAGGCATAAATGTTGGTGTGACTCATGAATTTAAATATAAAATGAATGAATATATATTAAATTTTCCCAAAACTCTTGGCTCAAAGAGACTTTCCAGGCTTGAGGCTAGAGTATTTTGTCTTTCTCCCGAGTCTCTTATTTATTTAATTTTAGTTTTTCACCACCAGTTCTTTCTCTTCATCAGCCCCAGGCCAGTCTGGGAAGTTAAGTGACTTGGCCAAGGTTCTGTAGCAGTTTGATGTCAGTTGGGACTAGAGTCCTCACTAGCTAACCCCTAGCCCAACATTCTTTCCTTGTCACATACTGGTTTTGACCCTTAAAACGTGTGCCTGGAGCAGAGGTCACACAGGGGAATGGGGCCGAAAGACTAGGCCGAGGAAAGAAAACTGAGGAGCTTTGCAAAATCTGATGTAACTGTAGGCTGAGGCCCCAGGATTGCCCTTTGGGGTCAGCTCCCTGAGGCCACATGTCCCCTGTGGAATTCAGCCCTGCCTGTCGCTGTTGGCAGTACCTGCTTATTTCTTGGAAGCTGAATACATAGTCCTCACCCTGCTGGTGTTGGAGATAGGAGTGTGTCTATAAATGGGGACAGTATAAATATAGACTATTTTTTATGTTTTAAGAAGAATGTTTTATGTTTTGTCAAGAAAAAATCGTTTATATTTTGTGCTCTCTTTTAAGCACTTCACATACATTTTATCTAATCGAACAACCTTGTTTTTTGACATTGTCCCCATTTTATAGGTGAGGCTTGAGTAGATTGAATAACTTGCCCGAGAGTGGAAACTGGAATTCAAACCTGGCACTAGAGGCTGAATGCTTTATCCTGCTGGGCATCTGTGTGGTTTTACTGTGAAATGATTAATGAGGATTTGCCCTGCCAAAGGTGGTATTAGAAAGCTGCAGGACTCCCTTTTCTGGCTTCATATTGTGTTTCCCTACATGGGACCGGACAGTAATAGGTGCGGAGTAAATATGGAATCAATAAAAACAAAAGGTTTGGGTTCTTTTCTGTGCTCTGACCACCTGAAGCATATTCCACCAGCTAGAATTTTGGCTGTTTTTCCTACCTTTCAGAAGAGGAACGGCCGTATCTCCTGCTTGGGAAAGGACAGGCTGAGAGAGGGGTCTGGCTGAACTGAGGGAGAGTTGAAACGGAGTTATAAATTATTTTGAGGTGGAAGACATTAACCCATGTCAGCTCCCTCGAATACTGATTTTAAAAGGCTTCGTAAACAATGTCTGGACAACCAAAACAAAGTCATTATCTGGGTAATTTAGACACTCATTTCTCTATTAGCTTGGCATTGAGGCCCAGGTCATTTCGATTTCATGAGTCTTCCCCAAAGGAATTCAGAAATTAAAAGATCAGTGTGTGCATATATATAGGTATTTTGTATGTTATGTCAATTTTATTTATTTAATTTTATTTTTTCCATCACCACTTCTCCCCCTCTATACCTTCTTCCACCTCGTCCACCTCCCCCCTGGAAGGATTAGTTAATATTAACAATAACCTCTATACCTTCTTCCACCTCGTCCACCTCCCCCCTGCAAGGATGAGTTAATATTAACAATAAATCCCACCTTCCCCGACAACAAGCTTGCTAAGGCATCTGTTTGTTTGACCTTGGCTGGGGCCTCCAGAGATGGGGGTGAAGAAGTAGCCAGTCTTTAGCCCAGGAGGTGAAGAGCCCCAGCTGCAGTGGGGTTCTGCCCTTTCGTGTGTGGCTACCATTTGGGCTGAAAAGCAGCTGCTGTGGGGCCCAGGTAGGTAAATAGGTGGTAGCCGATGGGAAAGTGAAGTCTGTAAATGTCACCCTTTTTGTACCCCTCTTCACACCCCCTTACCCAAGGTGCCTTATGCCTTCCCCATTGCCTCGGTCTTCATTTGCCGCTGAGGTGGAATAGTACTACGGAAGGGGTAAAGAGAGGCATCTGAAGATTGAAGAGAATGAAATGGATGGACCCCATCATGTGAGACCTGTAATTGGTGTCTCACTTTTAGTGCCAAGAGCATTTGAAGTTATTTTCTCCACAGGTAATTGAGGCCAAGAAGGGACATCACTGAAGTGAGATAACACAGCTGGTGTCACTGTTGTGTTGTTGTAAGCCCCCATTACAGTTACAGTGAGGCCTCAATAAATGCAAACTATATGGAAGGACTTGGGAAAGGCAAGAATATCTACAGAATTGGGCTGCACTGGGACCACTAACCTCACACTATTTTAGGGGAAACCACGCGGATGCCGGGATAATTGAACACATCCTGTCACCCACTCGGGAAAGGAAGAGGGAGGGCGGGAGCTAGAGCGTGCCCAGGCTTTTAGGATCGGCTCCGAGGGAATCAGGGCTGGCCAGAGGCCCCGGAAGGGCACCACTGGCTGGGTGCAACCCTACTTCCTGCCCGAGGGAAGGGCGGGGCGTTGGGTCTCCCTGGAGAC